AAAAAAAAAAAAGCCTAACAAACTTCAAACATTAAATAAAAGGAGAAAGGCAGGTGTACAGGTGGTAGGATGCATGGTACAGGTATGAGGCCGTGGGTTCAATCTCCAGTACCACCTCCAGAAAGAGAAAGTAGGCCGCGGGTATGGTGGTGCACACTGTAATCCCAGCACTCTCGAGGCTGAGGCCAGCCCGGGCTATACAGTGAGGTCAAGGCCAGCCTGAACTACATATCGAGACCTCGTCTCCAAAATAAACGAACAAACAAACCACAAATCTCCCTGTTAGGTACGAGGCCAAAAAACCAATTGTTTCGTACAATACGTCTGTCACTGGATTTCAATTAGCAAACACCAGGAAGGGGCGCGGGCGGGGAAGGTACCCACTTGCAGTTGGTGCAGGTGTAGAAGACAGTCTGCCCCTCGTCGGCCGAGCGCATCTGTCGGGTGTGGTAGGCCATTCCCTCGTGGCCACATCGAGAGCAGCGCCTGTCGACCTAGGGAAAAACGGGTGGCTTAAGGAGGTGCAGCCATATCCCCTGTTTTTTTTATCAGGCTACTGCACCTGTCAGACATCCTCGACCTAAGGATCCCCTCCCTCTAGGAAGTGGTTACAAAACTCCAGATCTCTGCGATCGCCTCTCCACGTCTTCCCACCCTACTTCTACAGCCGGACTTCACCAACTTACCACGGGTCCCTGGAACTCAGGTCCTTCCTCCCCCCACGCAGGCATGGCTGTCCCCAGTTTGTGGAACACAACTGAGGTCTTCACAACCTTCCCTTCCAAGTCTGCACAGGAAGTGAAGACTGTCAGAGGTCGGCAGAGGGAGCTCCCGCCGCGCCGCTCCCGATCGGATCAGGAGGCCCCGCTTCCTGCCCTGGGGCTTCCTCCCCGAACCAACGTGCGCGCGCCCGCCGCTGCCCCGGGCCTCCCCCGATCCGGCCAGGTGGACACCCCGAGCCTCCGACCTCCCCGGGGCCCCTCACCCCTCACGTTGACGGGGAAGCCGCAGCGCGTGCAGGCGAGCGTGTCCTGAGCGCCGGGCAGAGGCAGGACGGAGCCGCACTCCGGACAGAAGTCCAGGTCCGACTGAAAGCTGGAGCCGGTGCTGGTGAGCTCCATGTCTGACCTGCGGCGGAGGCTGGAAAGGAACGAGGAGTCTACAGACCAAAGACAGAAAAGCCTGCGGCTCCCGCCCCGTCCCCACGCACACGCGCCTCGCGCTTCGGCGACCAGGTAGCTCGAGATTCGCAGCGCGCGCCGCAAAACGCCCCGCCGCCCCGCCCCGCCCCGCCAGCGCGGGCTACCGACGCGGCCGACGCGGCCAGCTAGAGCGCCCACCATGCGCCGACCGCGGGACAGCGAGCGCTCTGCGGGCTAGAGCGTCGACAGCGCCTGGCCTCGGCTGGCTCGTGACGTCATAATCCGTCGCGACCCTTTGTCGCGGACTCCTGGGAAGGGCCGGAAGGAGGCTGTGATGCTGCTGTCGCCCTGGTTCTGTGCCCACGAGTAAGAAAAATCGAGCTACCAGTGCTGGGCGTCCCACTACTTTTCACACTGAAACGCAATCGTGGGATTTTTTTTTTTCGCCTCCTACAGAGCGAAGCGGGTGGGAGGTTGTCCTGAAAACCAGACTGTTGAACACTGACTGACGGGCTAGAGAACCGCAACTTGCCGTTCCCGAGACGGTTTATCGCTTTTGCAGCCGCGTACCCGTTAAGACAGAACCGAGTGTTCTGGGCCCGACAGTTCGGCCGTGCTTGGGGCCCTGCGAGCCGTGGGCGCGCCGCGGAGACGAGCGGGCTCCGCGCGCTTCTCGGCCGGCTCGGGCGCCTGGAAGGGCGAGCTCGCCGCGTAAGCCCTGCGAGTAGCGAGGGGAAGGCGGGAGAGGAACCTTAGTCCCCATGAGATGGAGCAGGGTGAAGGGGCCACTTCGCAGCAGAGATCGGGGTCTTTGAGGGGATGAGGTAGAAGAGACGGGCGCTTCCCTCTCCTAGGTGAGGGACGCTACCCAGTCAGAAGTGCCCCTGAGCGGCGGGCAGGAGCCTGAGGTTCAGCTTCCTAAGACTTAGGTCGAGTTTGGCTCTCCGTTGAGGACCGCATTCCATCTTTCCTCCTCTCCCGGCCTCCAGCTCTAAATCATTTGTTTGGTGGACAGCTGAGCACCCTCTCCCCGTCTTTTAGACAACTTGAGGAAGGATGAATATCTTTAGAAAGCGTGCTACTTTTAGTCATGTGTAGCCTATAATGTAAGAAACCTGACCTGAAAGAGGCAGCTGCTATATGAGTTTCCTACTTCCCTCCCGACCTTCCTACAACCGTCGAACCTGATAGCTATGCTAAACTCCTTTATATGAGTTCTGGAGTCATCACTTTTTCTCTTCGGAAGGCCACAAGCTGTGGTCTTTCCTTGGAAGAGACTGATAGGAGACGACCATAGTGAAGAGATTAAAACACTAATGACGTGCCCCATAATTTGACTTAATTGTGCAGCTTGGTGCCATTTTGTTTATCTCACGAAGGGTTGTCTGTTGTTGAGTCCGTGATGGTATACAGTCTTGTATTTTCACTTCTGGTTTTTTTTTTTCTTTCAAAGTAGACATTGAAATTAGCATTCCTTCCTCTCCAACTTTGCTTGCCAGCTATTCAGCCAACACCCACCATAAATCAAATTCTACAGCAGTAAAAGAACACAGGCATTATAAGGCATGGCTCTTTTTCAACAAAAGCTCACAACCTGTTCAATAAACATTTATGCCAGCCTTTGAGCAGACGCTGGGACTAATACTTGAAGTCTGTGTTCTCTGACTCATAGAACACAGAAGAATAATTAGTATACAATGAAGGTGCATTCATAAGTACAAAACATGAGTGTAGGTCAGGCATATAAGACAAATGCTTGTAAACTTCAGAGAAGAATGGTAATGCTTTAATAAAACATACAATGTTATTGTAAGTATGAGAGAAAAAGATGCTTAGATATTATGTGATAAGGATAATGAACAAGTTATTAATTTTGAGAATTTGGGATCATACTCTAATGTTAAGTACCATGCTAGATACTATGTGCAAAGAAATGAAGATAGTCATTTTTTTAAGGTCTCAAAATAAGCACACATGGGCAAATAAAAATGTGCTCATCACTGAGACCAAATGTTAGATGTCAGATTGTCTCCAAAAACATAGGTGTCATTTTATGTATAAATTTATAATTCCTACATTTAAAAAGCCTAAATTTCTTTTGCTTATTTGTTTTGGGAGGCTGGCCTTTCTTGTTTTTGTTTTTCAGACACAAGTCTGGCCTCCCCTCCTTGAAAAAGTCTAACTGTAGTTCAAGCTAGCCTGAAAGTTGTGACAGTCCTCCTGCTTTAACCCCTGAGTGCTATGATTACAGATGTACACCACCACACCCAGCTATAAGCCTACATTTCTTTCTTCTTTTTTGGTCTTTTTGAGACAGGGTCTCCCTATGCAGTTCAGGCTGGCCTTGAGCTCACTTTGTAACCCAGGCTGGTCTCGAACTCACAACCATCCTCCTGCCTCAGCCTCCTGAGTGCTGGGATTACAGGCATGTGCCTACATTTCAACATCAAGATGTTTAAAGTTACATATGAATACAGCTTATCACAATGTGAACCATGACTGATTTTCAAATGAACTGTAAAAATAAAAAAATGTTAAGTCAGAGAAGACTGCACAGAATAGAAAAACAAAGGCTTAACTTGTAAAAGACAGTTGCCATTTACTCAGAATATACCATATGTCCAGCTTTGTGCTAATCTCCTTGCATCTTTGTCTTATATCTCTGTTTTATAGATGAAGAAACGCATAGAGAGAAGTTAAGTGATAATCTCGTCCTGTACTTAGGAGGTAGCGGAATTATTGCTGTCAGTCTCCAAAGCCCATGCTTTTAACCATGGATGGTATCAAAGCCACCCTCAGGGTGTACCACTCTCAGTGGCTTAAATATGACCTCACAGTAAGCTCAGGTTAGAGAACAGTGCATAAAAAGATAATAGTCTTCGTTTGTGTTGCCATCAGCCTGCCCTATAAATAGACCTAGAGCAGTTGATGGTGAACCTTTTAGAGCTTTCAGCGATACAAACAGCTTGCTGCAACACATGTCCCATAGGTTCAGGCTTACTGACATAGAGCAGCCACAAATTCCTATTCTGAGAGGTTCAATGAGGAATGGTCTCATAAATTTAGGGTGAAAGATGATTGTCAGCATAAGGCACCTAAGTAGAGGGGTGGATGACCAAATAATACAATTTTAGAACAGGGAGCGGAGAGCTGTATGTGCTGATGGAGTCACAGAGAGCCCAACTCAAGAAACTACTGCAGAAACACAATAACATGATCAAATTGGAGCCTAGAATTATTGCAGAAGACAAAGGCAGGGAGTCTGACCAATTTGACATAGATGTAATTGGGCAACACTCCACCAAGGAGCCTGTATCTTCCCTCTTGCCACCTCTGATACAAGATTCAGAATGGTTTACACTGAATCCACAGGAGAAGTATGCTTTTTAGTTCATAAGAAATTGAAGATGCTCTTCTTATAAGGGAGGATTCACTCTTCTTCACCATAGGAATGCAGTGGTCTCCCATGGAAGAAATGGCCTTGTAGAGTCCCTCCTCTAACCAAGTTTTCCGTTCTAAGGCCAAAACATTTGAATCCTTTGACTTAGGCAATATGTGAGCCGGTATGTTGACATTGCCCACATTCTGATCTACCTTTACTTTTTATCTTCCAGATTGGCCTGGGCTAAAACGTCGAAAGACCCTAGGGTTGCTGCAGGTCAACAGTCCCCACTGGAGAAAAAGATCTTGGTAAATAAGTTATCTTCACAACATATAGCTTGGGATTATTCAGAGAATGAACCTTAGGTTTAAAATCCTTCTGTCCAAGTGACATCACTGTGTAGCATGTCCACACTAGCTAATATTTCCCAGCCATTTCAGCAGTTACAAAACAAAGTATCATTTTGAAATCTCGCAATGGTCTATATTTTTTTTAGCTAGTTACTGATTTGTGGTGGGTACTTTATACTTTTAGAGCTCCCAGGCTTGCCTTGGGAATGAAGGGAGTCAAATTAAAATTATTACAAACTGGGGCTGGGGATTTAGCTCAGCGGCAAAAGCGCCTGCCTGGCAAGCGCAAGGTCGTGAGTTCAGTTCCCGGTACCGGAGAAAAACCAAAAAAAAA